TAATCCAGAAGAAGGCCGTTAAAAAAGAAACACACTTCATGAAACACCATCAGAATCCACCAGGTTCAGACACTCAAACGTCAGATCACACTTCTGGTAACTAGGGATGGGGATCGAAACCCGGTTCTATCAAGGACCCGGTTCCACTTTTTTCAAAACCCGAAAATCAATACCGTTTGGGCTTATTATCGATACCACTATCGAGTCTGGTCGTTTTTTTTTATTATTGCAATAGTAATTGTGAAATCTGTGTTGTAATCGGCAGCATACAAGCTAGTTAGCTTGAAAAGTAAATAAAGTTTCAGACGTGTTCAGATTGGCTCAGTAAAACGACAATTAGGTTATCATGATGCGTTCAAGTGTAACGTAAAGAAAATGCAAATTGAGTTTTTGGCGAGAAACATGAGTAATACAGTTGTATATTGCTCAAATTATTTTAGAATGTATAATTAAACTACTGATGCCAACGTTTATTAAAAATTACATTTAATTTAAAATACAATTATTTATTTGCTAAATATTGTCGCATCGTCTTTCCACCAAATCACAGAAAATTATCAATAGTGGTATCGATAAAGACTCGGATCGATAAGGAGTATCGATAAAGGTATCGATATCAATAAATATTAACCATCCCCATCCCTACTGGTAACGGACATATGCGAAAGTGAGTGCACGTTTATTTTAGATCAGTTAGTCTCCCAAGATCTATATTTTTAAAGATTGTATTTTTCAGTTTATCATTCTGTCCTATATTTTTATCTGTCCTATATTTTTATTTCTACATTTTATTCTTGCTTCTCATAGAAGTGTTGTGTTGTGCACTAAACACCAAGGCAAATTCCTTGTAAGTCTGAAAACCTACTTGGCAATAAACCTGATTCTGATTCTGATTCTGAAGTATTGCGCATTAGCATCAGAAGCTGCCATGAAAGTCTGACTTCAATGCCTCACCTTCAAAGGTGTGCTGATCCACGACCAAAAGGCTGTGGACCTCCACCTCCTCTCCGAAGGAGGTCTCGTGTGGAGAGGTGCTGCTGGGGAAGAGCTTACTGGAGCTCACACTGTTGGAGAGCGCCTGTGGATTAATGAGATTAATGAGATAGGACAGGGAGAGGAGTGAGTACAAAAACGGCTGTAGTGGAGGGTATAAAACGTATATATATATATATATATATACAGTGGGGGAAATAAGCATTTGACCCCTTGCTGATTTTGCAGGTTTGCCCACTTACAAAGAATGCTTATTTTTCCTCATCAGATTGTTATCAAATTTTATAAATTCATACGATGTGATTTTCTGGAATTTTCTTTGGGATTCTGTCTTTCGCTGTTAGAATGTACATATGATTAAAGTTATACAGTGGGGTAATAACTATTTGACCCCCAACCTGCAAAATCAGCAAGGGTCAAATACTTATTATTAAGCCATTAGCCGCTGCTAGCAATTCAAGGCTAACGTATTAGCCATTAGGGGATGGTGGTATTGATACTTTTGAAAATGAGTATCGTATCCGGATACAACATTTTAATATAGATACTTTTTTAAGTATCAATACTTTTGACAACCCTAGTTCTTACTAATCCTGCTGTGTTATTTAAGGTGCTTAAACCTAAAGGCAGGTACCTGTGTGCTGGCACTGGGCCGAACGGCCGACGTGGTGCCGCTCACATCCTGGATCTCCACCCGGTTGGACAGGACCCCGAAACACTGGGAAACCTCCTGGTAGCAGATCCGCCTGATAGATGGAAAGATGGAATAAATACAGACGAAAACTAGGCTAAGCTGTAAGGAACAAAGAGCCTCAGGAGCTAATTCAACAGTGCTGAGAGTTGGCTGTCGTTTAGAGGCTGGAACAGAAAGGAGGGAATTAGAAATGATCCGGTAGATACATAACAAAAGCAACAGAGGGGATTAGACGGGAAAAAGGTAAAAATCACTGCAAATACGAAAAAACATGCTGCATATTTGCACGGATAATAGGCGTGAAGCACTCGGTTCCTGTTCAGCTGTGAGTCAATATTGAGATTAAACGGCGTACCTGGGAGACTCGTAGAGGGGAACCGTGCGGATGTGGAGTTTCTGGATTTCATCAATGGTGCCGATGGTCAGGGTGCTGTTGTTAGCCAGAGCCAGGCTAAAAAAAGGGAAGAAAAGTATTCAGTAAATAGAATTTTTTTAACCCTTTAAAGCCTGATCCAGAATAAATCAAAACAGAAAATTCCTTTTATTTTTGTTTGAATTCCTTATTTGGCCTTTTAACAAAATATGTAAAAAGAAAAAACAAAAAAATTGTTTTATATTAATAATTTATTACTAAATTATTTATGACTTACGATAAGTCAAGATGATTTTTTGTGTATCTTCTGCCCCCTGTTATCAGGTTTATCTGATTGTGTACAATAGGATTTTGAACAAAGTTTTTACCATTAAATTATGCAAAAGGTGTCAGACGCAAAACATTTCAGAAACCGTATCAAATATGATACATTTGGCATTACAGATGCATCTCCTACAGAATCAGACACATGACACTAGGCTGGTCCCTATATTTGCAAAAAAACTGCGTATCGGCCGGCAGCAGAAAATGCAGATCCAGACTCCAGATCCAGTTTTTTCCAGTCGGATCCCACATTAGCACTAGCATTAGCATTAGCATCTGTAACCCACAGGTCTGTGTCCTAACCATTAAGTTGTTATCAGAGTAAATCCCTGTTCAACATGAGTCTGACAACTAAGTAAGTAGATAAATAACTTTCAACTTTAACACATGCTGTGATAGGCCGGGATCGGGATCGGATTGGAAAAAGCTGGATCGGGACGTCCCTAGTTCAAACACAGAATTCAAACAAAATCTGCATGTCTAGTTATTGATAAGTTGTTGTATTGTATTGAACACAATCAGATACACCTGATAACAGGGGGCAGAAGACTACACAAAAAACAATCCTGACTTATCGCATTGTAATAAATTATCAATATCAAAAAATGCATTTCGGTTTTTTCTTTCTACATATTTTGTTAAAAAGGCCAAATAAAGACTTCAAACCAAAAAACACATCTTGACCTGTCGGGGTATCCCTCTGAGTTGAGCGGGCACATGTAGTTGACCTCCTTGAGGTTGACGTTGCTGAACACCAGCTTGTGGTTGGAGGAGTAGATGACGGTGGGCCGGTCCGAGCAGGCGAACACGTTCGAGGTGGAGAGCGACCGGAAGGTCCTCAGCACGGTGGGCTGCGTGCCCAGGGTCACCTTCTTACGCTCACTCAGGGCACCTGGGGAAAGACAGTTAGTTATTTTTGTGTGTGTGTATATATATATATCTGTCAATCTGTACAACGCCTCCCTCTGAGAGTCAAACTTAATTATTGACAATGTATGTACAACTTTATTTGTATGTGTATGTGCATGTGCATGTGTTTGTGTGTGTATGTATATATATATATATATATATATATATATATATTTGGGTTGTCACTTGGAATGGGGGGGGAGTTAGATATCCATCCTTGGCTTCCTGCAGTCTGATTACTGTTGGCATGTTATTATTAGCCGTTAGCCGCAGCTAGCAATTCAAGGCTAACGTCATGCTAATGATCATAAACAACGGCAATAAATAAATAAATCAGAGAGAAGGGGGGGGTATCGATACTCTTGAAAATGAGTATCGTATCCGGATACAACATTTTAGTATCGATACTTTTTGGAGTATCCATACTTTTGACAATATATATATATATATATATATATATATTTGTGTCTGGTGACTGGTGGCCCACATTAATGACTTTAACCCTAAAACTCCAGCCTTCATAATTGTGAGAAATAAATATTTTTGGGTTAAACGTGTTTGGACTTATTGTAGAAACCTATTTAACATCCGCTATTTTAACATCATATGTATAGAGTTTAATTAAGTGTTTGAAAGATTCATATAACTATTTTTAAATGAATGTTTATATTGCCATGAGGCATTACAATTTTCTTGCCTGGGATCTTCCTATTGGTGACTTCTGAAAGGTCCAGCTCTAGTTTGAAATGTGTACCAAGTGTTGCTTAGGCCTAAGGAGCCATTTACCCAGATGGTTTGTTCTTGAGCTCTGCGTGTGCTCTTGAACCGTGTGTGGAATCAAGTGTTTGTCCTGTTTGTGAGGTTTTCATTTAACAAGTGTGCCGTCTGTACTAATTATAACAGCTCAAACTCGTCTTCCATCCCCTCGAACGAACACACACCCTGCTACCGCCGTCCTGTGATCTGAGTAAAACCCAGCAAAGTTAATGAGGACATTTATATGCACACTCGTATTGCAGTGGAGAGGAATTCCCCCTTATTTTTTATTCAATTCGGCGCAAGTGGTTTACAAGGATGTGGGGAGTAATCTGATTATGTTCAAATCCCTGTTTACATCCTAATAGCTCTGTCCTGGTCCTCTGGATCTGGAAACAGGCCACTGGTCTCTTTCTATTCTCTTCTTGGCTTAATGCTTTTACGCTAAATGCTAATAGGCTATATTCGAACGGCTTATTTGAAAAGAAAAACTCGGACTGTTAAGAAATTGTGCAGGTCGTTAATCAGTAATGATCACAATAAGTGCCGGCTGCTTCGCTAATGGAAAGCATTTAAAATCTTGACAGCGTTTCACTTTGAAATCTCATCTCTGGCTAATGGGAGTCGGTGTCTCCGGTTACTTCACAACTCAATTACAAATCAGAGGTCCGCCACGCCGTTAGAAAACAATCATTAACGCTTCTTAGTGCCATTTTTGTTTCTCCATACAGGGCTGGCTCTCTGTGTGACAACATCTTTAATAACTAATTAAACAGAGGAGATGCGGCCAATTAACTAGGAGATTAGATTTAACAACATGTTTCTCAGCAAATAAAGGAACAGCTGGAGGAACAAAAGAGAGAAAGGATGCGCCAGTAGAAACACATTCTGAACTACATGAATATTGTTTTTTTTATCATTTAAAAGGGACATATTACGCAAAATCAAGTTTTTAATCATGTGATTGTGTACATTTGGGACTGTGGAGGGCCTATCAGCAGGAAAAGTGTGAAAAAAAATGACTGGGTCATGTTTTTGTGGGCCGCCTCAGTCTGAATCCAGGAGATAAATCAGGAGGTTTCAGGAGTGGGTAGTTTCTGACGTCATTAGCTCTAGCTCATTATAATATTATTATTATTATTATATTAATATTATTATATATTATCTAGCTCATTATAATATTCCAGCCTTTCACCTGCATGTTGCCCCCCCCCCTCAGCTTACTGCCCTATCTGTGGAGACGTCCTGGTAGCGTGAGCGTTAGCATGGTATCATTAGCATGGTAGTGTTATTTTGAGCGTTAGCGTGGTAGCGTTAGCGCGGTAGCGTTAGCATGGTAGCGTTAGCATGGTAGCGTTAGCATGGTAGCGTGAGCGTGCCGACGTGGGCACACCTCCCTGAAGAAGTGGGCGGATTGCCTGTGTCTCATTTGCATTTAAAGAGACAGGCACTCCAAAGCGAGCGCTCTGAACGGGGCTGTTTTGGGTTAGGGTTAGGGTTAGGGTTAGGGTTAGGGTTAGGGTTAGGCAGGGGGACTGAACTGCTATTGGGCTTCATCCTTTTGGGATTTTGACCAAAGCTTGTCACAGACATTACATTAGGACACCAGGGAACTAGCTTAACTTGTTGAAATAAAGTATAATATGTCTCCTTTAAAACAGAGAAACAGACCTCTGACTATTATCAAACAGTTCTATGCAATCATCTGTAAAACCACAAGTTGATTTCTCTTTTTCTTTTCTTTTCTTTTTTAGGAAGTGAGCGGTTACAGTGACATAAGACTGTAACGTCCAGGTTTGGATCACATGCTAAAGCTTATCCCACCTGCTTATTTTAAATTATTCCTGACTATATGACACAAAGCTCTGGATCGTGTGGGGAATTTGGCCCTTGGCGATAAAAGCTGAGACAGTCTGCCTCTCCCTTTGCACTTTTTTCAGTTAAGTGGAAGCTTTGCAAAACCTGGAAACACATCTTATGGCTCAGATTGATAGGAGTGAGTCCATGTCCCAGTTTTAAATAAAGAGGGTGTCGGATATATTTGTTCTCACTCATTCATCTTGTGCATCCTGTACAGATTCAGGGAGCTTCACCTGTACAAGATTAGCTGTAATCTGTTTAATTGTGCGTATGGAAATTTGACTTATTTTATCTGCACCCTTCACTTTTCATCTGTCTAATTTTGATTATTTTTTCTTTTCTTGTTTTTCTGCTTTTAAATTCTCTTTGAAGCACTTTGAATTGTCTTGTACACAAAATGTGCTACACAAATAAACTTACCTTGTCTAATTCATCTGTAAAACTCCCAAAACTCCCTTGTTGCCTCATTCTAAAACATCTGGATTTTCATACATTTAAGACTCCATTTCCTGTCCCCTCATCTTTATTTGCTCATGTCCAGGCGGTTAAATGATATTAGTTGTAATGCTTGTTATTTTTTCTCCAAATATAACAAAAATAAGTGACTTTCTGATTTGACTGAGATTAGGATTAACAGAATAAATCATTTAATCATTTAAAATAAAGACCTGGAGGCTTTAGTGAGAGCTGGCAGCCTCTTAAACAACAAATCAACAAAAAAAATCTAACAAAACAAGATGAAAAGTGTAGTTTGTAAACAGATGTGATCCAGTGAGACAACGTGAGGGTTAAAGCTGGAAAATCAAGCTAGGCCTCTGTAGTTTATGTTACGGCTGAAAAATCTGATTTAAAACCATCTATCATTAAATTCTGCATCCTGAATGCTGATTATGCTAATGCACATATGAATATTATGCACAGCTGGGGCCTCTTTCAGAACCGACCCGCCCCCCTGCTTTCACCACACAGTTAACATCTGGATTCTAACACAGTGGGGCATTTAAACACCTTTTTTAAATGAATTAACATAAGAAAGATCCGTCCATACCTAACACAACATGCTACCCAGCTCCTGGTGCAGTCTTTGGTTTATTTCCCGCCTCGACTATTGCAACGCACTCCTGACTCTCCCAGTTTGGACAGTAAAACCGTTAGAAATTATCCATTTGTAAAAATTTTTTTTTTAAAGGGTTCAATCAGCCCAAAAAGTCTCAGGTCTCCCCTCTGTTCATTGAACTCCACCAGTTACAGAGAGTCCCATAGTGCCAGAGTTTTTTGAACATTTTGACTGATTTTTCAAGAGCCACAGAATAGTTTGTGCTATGACTATGTAAACACCGAATACACCAAAAGAAAGAGTAGACTCTCTTCTTTCATCAGGAAAAAAAAATTGTTTCTACCTTATTCCGTTCTTCCTGGACTTGCGTCTCACCGGCGACATGTTCTCTCATAGAACCGTTCCCTTTTTCTTATTTGCCTACAGTCTATGCTCATCTCCCATCAAAAGTGGCACTGCCCCCTAGAGGGTCAATTTGTTACTACATACTCTGTCTAGAAGCCCATATTTACGGACAAGCTTTAGCAGATCGTCCCTTAGCCACTCTCGCTGAAAAACATAAAAGACGTCTATAGACGTCTTTGGCAGCCAATGAGTTAATTGCATTCCTTGTTTGTAAACAAACAAACAAAAGTTTCTGGGAAAACTACAGATATGAGTGGGAAATGTAAAGGAGGTAGGGATGGGACGGTTTCTGAAAACCGTCTGAACCGTTGGGTTCTGTCTCGGTTCGGTTCGCGTGTGTTGCGTTCGGTTCCTGCTGCTCCTTTTTCTCAGAGGGAAGCGTTTACACTCCAGAGCAGAAGGGGGCGCCACTGCGCCCAAAGCCAACCACCAGTAGGAAACAAGAAGAAGAAGAAGCAGCGTAGCCGATAAAAATCCGACCGCCAGCAGCAGTTTCTAGGTCTGCTGTATGGACCAGTTTGCATTTAGAGGGAAGCACATGTTGGAATTAGCTCTGTTTCCTCTCTGGCAGAATCTCACCTACTTTTAACCTAAGACTGTCACAATAATGTATCAAATGTCAGACTGCTTTTTTCTTTCAGTTTTAACCCGACTATACAAGACATAATAGATTTTCCTAACAATCAACATATACCGAACCGAACCCAAAACCGTGAGCACGAAACCATGAATCGAACCGAACCGTGGATTTTGTGAACCATTCCACCCCTAATGTGTATATATATATATATATATATATAAACAAAATTCCACATAGAATAATGATAAATATATACATAAGTAACTATATGTACATATATATATATATGTCAAAATAAGTGGTGGTGATAATGCCAATAATTAACTCATTGACTGGCAGCCATTTTCAGAACAGAGAGTCGCTCACTGCCAGAGTTTTTT